TTTCCTTATTGAGTCCTATTTAAATCTTATTCAAATTCAAACTGAATTTTAGAGAGCGGCCCTTGGTGGAGATGTGAATTGAGTACGAAAAACGCTACAAAACACACCACTGTGTGTTTTAACAGTTGTTTCCTTCCGAAATCTACTTAACATCCTTGCCAAGTTCTAGCCAATGTTTTCCGAAATTGACTAGGAATGAGTAAGGAAAGGCTCCAATCACATTGCATATGATAAATTTGATTTTAGATTGTCTACGGCTGGCTTGAATGCAGAGCTAGCTAAAAACAGTCACAGACCTGAAAGCATTTTGTTGCAGACGAGGACGCTGAGAACAATGCGAAAAACCTCGCACTCTCCAAAAAAACAACAAGAATTGCCAGCCCTATGTCCCCAAGCTTGGAATGCCCTATGGCTGGCCGCATTTTCTTGCTTTTGTTTATCGGTTTTGGATGAAAAATAGTAGGAGTACTAGTAGTACTAGTAGCAGTAGTACTAGTTGTAGTAGTAGCATTAGTAATAGTAATCGCGATAGTAGTAGCAGTAGCAGTCGTAGTCGCACTAGTAGTAGCAGTGATGTAGTAGAAAAAGTTGTAATAGCAGTCGCAGTATTAGTGGTAGTAGTAGAAGTCGTAGTAGAAGTAGTAGTAGTAGTAGTAATAGTGGCAGTAGCAGTAGCAGTAGTCATAGTAGCAGTAGTGCAGTGGGGGCGAAGAGTAATGAAAGTATGCTAGCAACAGCAGCCACAATAACAATTCGAAATCAACTTTCAACAGCCTGAGCACGCATGAAAAACGTCTACGGCACAATAATTCGATGCTGAAGTCAAAATCTGTGTCTGCCGAGTGGACACGCTCAACACCATGCCAAGTGTTTGTCTGCTTCGCAACAAACGATGCTACTGACAGCGCTGATCTTCATGCAATTTCTTTCGCTCAAAGCCTTTCGCCTTGCGCGCATTGTGAGAAGACCTTGCGTGCGTTACAGAAATACAGAGAAATCACTCGCATCCAAAGTCATCCATCTAAATTTGTTCACGCCAGCAAGAAATGCAAAAATAGACGGAATTGAACTCGCCAGGTTTGTCGAGGACATTCCAGACTGGTCTTTATCATTTTGGTTTACTGTGCGCCACAAGTGTGCAGTCTTGCTTGGTGTCTTGCTTTTGTGTTGAGCTTGGCATCTTTTCTTGCCGTTGAGGCATCTGTCTCCCTTTTTGAAGTGATGTGTTGAGGAATCCGTTTACTGTTTATTCTGCTTGTGGTTCGGGCTCCCATCTCGAATTTATTTGGTTCTTAGTGCTGAAACAGCGGACCTGGTGATCGCGATTGGCCGCACGGATGAAAGATAAAACAATAAGTGACAAGAGCTGGAATACCTTGCTAACTTGTGAGTGGCTAAAACAGTGATGCGTGGTGGTGCCGGTGGTAAAAATGAATTTAATCAAAAGCAAGTTTACAGGACTTCGCGTGCTGTGCATGATGGATGCAGTACGAAACATGGGAAGCAGCAGGCGCTCATCATTTCTCACGAGTGGGTAGCTCGATCCGACCAAGTAGGCATAACATACGCCAACTGGCCAAGGCATAGCATATGCAAAAACCCAACATGGGCGCGCGTCAACTACCCCTAACAACCCTCGCGCGCCGTAGGGTGGCAGAGGGTGGGGCACGCGAACCTAGGGCAAAACCCCGAACATGCCACAAGCGCGACGCAAACACCTGGCTGCGAGCAAAAAAAACATCCAACCCCGACCGCCCCCCCCGGGGCACGCGCAAGCAAGCACAAGCTCCGCGCGCGCAGCCCCCTTTCGATAAACCATGGTCCACTACACAGCTGCAAACACAGCGCTCACTTGGAAACGTAAAACGTCAAAACGCCAGATAACAATGTGGATAAACGCAACCGCGCAGCACGTCAAAATTGCTTACAGAGTGACATTTTGCAACCAGCGTGCTCAACTGAAAACCGTGCAGGTTAGCATAAAAGCCAAGGGATTCACTCTGGACGAGGAAAAATTGCGCGACAGCAGATCTGGAGGCGTGGCTCTGAAACCGGCGGCTTGCTGATGCGCGGCCATTCTTCTTGCATTAGCATCTTGTACTGATGCTATGAACTCTGGTGACTGTGCCGTGTGAACGGGCATCAAGTCCATCCAGGCTGCTTTCAATTTCATCAAGAGAATTTCAAATTTTGATTTGAATATGAGGAACTCGGTGTTCTGCCTTCTGCGATTGAAGAAACTGAGAAGTCTGTATAAGTACACGTTCGTCGAGCCCTTCAGGAAGAACTTCTTGAGCGCGTTCTTGAAGTAGTCTTCTTCAGGATCTTGCTCTCTTAAATGCTTCGATTGTTGTCACCCCAATCATCTACGAGTTCTTCATATCTAAACCAGCTGACTTTTCCGTTGTACGACGGCGGCTGCTTGGCGGTGGAGGATCTTTGTGCGGTGGGCCTGGATCTATTCTGGAGAGTTCCAAGTGTCAATACTAATGGATTGATACTGGATAAGCCCTAGTAAACTGGGTGTTATCTGAGGTGTGACATGAAAGGCCTTGAGCCACAGTGGTAACGTGTTGCATGGAGATCAATGGGTCCAGAAAAAAAACACACACCCCCAACCCCCCCGGCTGGTTGTGAGAATTTCCACAGAGATTACCGCACCGTTTGTTAAATCATCACTTCAAACATCATGGGGGGGGCTGCCGCCCCAACCCCTCCGCTGATTTTTAGAATGTTTGCAAAGATTACTGCACCCTTTGTTGAAGTATCACTTCTTCGATCATCTGGCCCCTGCCAACCCTGCGCTGATTTTAGACTGTGTACAAAGAGACGCCCTGCGTTCAATCATCACTTGTTTGATCACAATATAATCGGGGAGGCCTGCCACCCTTTGTTGAATCGCTTCTTCGATCATCATGGGGCTGCCCCCCCCCCCCAAACCCCCCCTGATTTTCAGAATGTTTACAGAGCTTAACGCGCCCTTTGTGGAATCATCAATGTACCGTACCTTGCGAAAGCGCGGCGCCTGCCGCGAAATCTGTACTGTACCTTGCCAAAGCGCTGCGAACCGCGATATCTTGCTTCCTTCCGTCCTTTCTTCCTCTTGCTTCCTTGCTTTCTTGCTTCCTTGAACCCTTGCTTCCTTCCTTGCCTCCTCGCATCCTTGCATTCTTCCTTTGTTTCTTGTAGTGGTATGTAAAGGAGGCCTATAGTGACCAATTAAGGTTGCATTCCTTGCTGAAAAGGAGGCATAATCGGCTACTTGCCCCCCAAAATCTTGCTTTTTCGCGTAAAACTCTCGCCCTCCTCTCGGGCTGGAAAAAAGGCACAAAAGGACACATTTCGGCAACTTTCTCTCTTGTGTAAAACTCTTGCCCGTTCTGCGAAACTCTCGCCCAGGAAACGACCTCGTCGTGCGAAGAATCCAAGAGCTAAAGTGCTGCAGGGAGCCCCGCGCCTGCACTATATCGACCCCTCGATATGCGGTTTGGCAATTTGCCCCGTAGCTGCGTTTCTGCAAGGCGAGCTAAAAACCAGGGAAAAAAAGGGTTCCCGACCGACAACATACCGACCACCGACGACCGACAACCGACGACCGACGAGGAGAATCTGGTGTCCGTGCGCGGTGAACGGAAGTTTTCCGCAGTCTTCCCTTCCAGGGAACACTGTAGCACTGCGCGAATTCCGCAATTATTGCCAAGCTGGCCAGAATTGAAGTTTTGCGAAGTGCCCTCTTCCAGGGGGCACTTCGCGAATACCGCGAATGGTGGCAATCTGGCCACCAGACCGGAAAAACATCCTGGAGGCGACCGACGCGACCGCTCTTGGATTCTTCGCAGGACGAGGACGGACGAGTGTCAGAAGCCCCTCGGCTGCATCAAAACCCGTTTGGGGAATCCCCTATGCAACAACATAGCAAGGACGGCTTGCTCGGCTTGTTGGGCTACACAGGGGGTTCCTTGCGCGCTTTCATTCAACAGGGCTTGCCCTCAAGTGTGTTTTTGTTTGTTGCTCCACATTTGGTTGGGAAAGTTGTGTCCCGGTGCACTTCCGCACTAGAAGGGGTTGTGCCACACACATGGCAAAGCTAACCCCCGGCAAGGAACCTCACAACGCGTTTGTTGTCGTCACCGCGCAGCAACACAATATCCCTTCCCCGATCGCGTCATTCCGCCTCATCCGACTGTCAAAAACCATTTGCTGCAATCGCAATTTGAGCCACGTTTCTTGAGAGGCACTTGTGGCAAAAAATGTTCAAATCATCCGAGAAGCGCTGCATCAAAATAAACGTCAGCTATTACCATTACCAAGAACATAGCACAGCTGGCCCTCTATGAGTTGTTCCTGCATGTTGAAGCGTCTTCAAGGCATGGGAACACATACTTGATCACATATCCGTCTAGTATGTGTGAAACTAGCAGGCTTGTTTACAGGAAAGAAACTTTCCCTTCCCTTCCCTTCCTTTGCTCTCTCTTGCGCGCTTTTTGCACTCACAGGAGCTGCAACACGTCCATCTGCGCGATTATACACCTACAACTCATGAGCGAGTATCTCTTCTCCTTTTGGCGTCTGGCCCAGGAAGAGCTGCCCTTAAAATTTTGGCTGCCGTCTTCACATGTGCTGCAAGTCTGGAGCAACACATTTGCCATGTCTGCAAGGTCGTCTTTGCGCTCCTTCTTTTGAGGCTTCCTGCCCTGCGCTCCCTTCCTGCCCTTCCGAAGCTTCCTAGTCTTGTCCTGGCATAATTTGGACAGCTGACTTGCGTTCTTCAGCAACCCATAGCAACATTGCACTGCAATGAATTCGAGCGTATGAGCCGCCTTCCGCTTCACAGGGATCAAAAGGTCGTGGTGAGCATTCTTGAAATTCCAGTTGGACTTGACGGCCTTCCCGACCTTGCTACTGACACTAGCTTTATTGTCCGTCGGGTATTCCACACCCTACCCCCTCACTCCAGCAAACTTCGAAAAGGCTGCAGAACAGCCCGCGGGTGCGGATCCTCAGTGGGATAAATTGATAGAAATGGGGCCCAGGTGACGTCGGCACTCAGGTTTCTTGCCATGCAGTAAAGGCGGAACCGCGCAGCCAGGGAATTGGCCACCAGATCTTCCCACAAAGGGCCCCCGCTCTGTAGCGCCTTGCTTTGGGCTTTTGAGCAATTTCAGGCAATCTGGCAGGAGCCCCTCCAACGAAATGTTCAGACTCTTGAAGTCCTCCAGAAGCTTCCCTTTGGTTTTCTTATTCTGACTCCACCAAAGCCGAGGAACCAAGACTGAATGATTGCTTGGAAAAGCTGCCCCCACCTGGAAAATATCTACCCAGTGTGTCGATGTTCCGGGCGCAAGCTCGCTGTCTGTGATTTTCCAGCGCACTGCAGAGCAAAGAACTAAAGACAATGCCACTTCTGGTTGGTCAAACAAAGGGCCCGCACAGCCATATGCACTCTGGAAGCATTGTTCCATGTACATGAATGCAGCAGGGGCAGTGGACGACAACTCGCCTGTCGTCTGGAAGGCTCGTTCCAGGAGGCGAGGTACCCCAGCATTGAAGACTCTGTTGTTGTACTGCGTTCCCTGCCATTCTTGCATGGCCTCAGAAGCAGCCTGTCGAGACAGTGGTGGGGCTGGAATGGGCTGGATCTCAAGCTTTGTGTACTCCAGGGCTGGCAAGAGTTGCTGCCAGTTGACTGTGCCTGCGGAGAAAAGCCCCATGTTTTGTGGAAAATTGCTGAATACTTGGGTGAAAGCTGATTTCCGTTCACCAGATTGACTCAGCCCCTCAACGTGTTCACCCACAAGTAACTCCGATTGATCCAGGAACATCAAACTGGGGCAGTCTGGAGCCGCATTGAAGGCCGCAGCCGTCACCAAAAGCCACTGCTCGAAGACAGCCGTATCAGATAGACAATCTTCTTGAGCCCAAGTCCGAAAGAAGAAGAAGAAGAAGGGGTAGACATGGACCTCGGAGGATCTTCATCACATTCGCGAATTGCATGCGCTTGAAATTCACCACCTTCCGAGGACTCAGCTCCACAGAGTGGCCATGGAAGATCTCACAAAGGTGCCACAAAGCTATGGAAGAAACAAGAGCTCCAGCATCTTCACCAAGCACGGTCGCTTCATCTATCTTGATCGCATCAAACACCAAGAGCCGCCCGCACCGTCGAATTTCGGAAAAGATTGAAACCTTTGCCAAATGACGGATGAGCGATGTCTTGCCCGTTCCTCTCGGGCTCCACAAGGACACTACTCGTACCTTGTTGGTCTGCAATCTTTGGGTCATCTCTATCTCCTCTATAACTCTCTTTACAACCGCCTCCCTTTCCCGAAACGGCCTCTCATCCTTGTTGTTGATTCGGCTGTTCAAAAAGCGGTCTTCGAAGTCAACGAGGTCTGCGCTAAAACGAGGGAGCTCAACCTGCGCGGGAGGTGCCCAAATCAGGAGGGAATGCTGCGAAGGGCAATCACGACAAACACAACACGCGTCGGCAATTGGGAAGAAAACTGATCACAAGCGGGGCTCGACATCGAGCCGAATCACGCCTGCCAACAATGCGGCCGGCTGGAGGTCACAAAAAAAAAACGCTGCGCTCTGCAACGCAATTTTGGGATTTCACGGTTCTGTGGATGCGATCAGGGCAGCCCCACCAAAAGCATTTGCGGGCAGCGGGGGAAATTCAAAACCACACACAACGACCAACGTCTCAGAACAAAGTCAAGAGCAAACGATTGTCCAGCCGTGCCTCGAGCTCCTTCAGCAGCCGGATCTTCTCGGCCAGAAGCCCCGCTGGTCCACCAGAAACGCTGTATGGCGCTGCCATCAGCTTCTCCAATGTCACTTTCAGCAGGGACTTGCCGGTGACGCCCTGCTGCTGCAGTGTGGTCACCGTCTGCTGGATCAGCTCATCTCTGACCTTGCCCTCGTTCAGCACGGCTTCCGTCCATCTGCTCACCTGATCCCCGCTGAAGCCCTCCACCTCCTTGCGGCTCTTGGCGAGCCAGCCCTGCCAGCACCCACCACAACCGGAGCCGTGCACGTGCGAGCCCCCGGCCTCCGCGTCGCTGAGCGTCCTGTTGCGGGCTGGCGCGCAAAGTAACTCCGCCACGCCAAGGGTGCCGGCTTGTCACCCTCAGAGGAGCTGAGAATCCAGGCCAAACAATCACAGCAAAACCGAGATCTGGACCTGTGGCCCGCGAGAATCCTGGCGGCAACACACAAAACACAGCCAAGATGCCAGGAATCTAGTGTCCTTCCAACCCGGGGGACTCGGTGAAATCCGCCCGTGAGGGATGGTGAAGAGATGTACCTGGGGCCACAACCAGCAAACCAAAGCACTGGAACAATGCTGCCGAGGTCTTGGCCGTGCGCAAGAAAAGCCACGAGATTGCAGTCAGGAGAATGCGGGAGCGAACACCTGACGACGACGAGTCCTAACAAGCACGAGTTGAAGCTGACCAGCCTCGGCTCCTCCTGCCCTTCGTCGTCTCCACGCCCATGGCTGCGCACTGTTTCCCTCGTGGCTAGTTTGTGATATGATGTGGATTTGTCAAATCCACATCATATCACAAACTAGCAGCGAGGGAAACACTGCGCACATTGAAAGCGTGACTTTGCGCTGTGTGCGTGGACCGTCGGCAGCGCTGCTTCTGAGCGCTTCTTTGGGCCAGGCTACAATCAAAAATGTTTTCACACATTTCGCATGGCGGGCGCTGATCCGTCAAATCCGAAACCACTGCAAGCGCAATGTTTCTCAGCTCCGCTGCCCCCTGGATGGGGCTCGTCACTCACCGGCCGCGCCCCGGGAAGATGTTTGGGTTTCGGCCTGGCAACTGGTTTTTTGGAAGCACTCACAAGGTCTTGAAGGAGGTTGACTTCGGCTCTACCAAGTCCCGAAAGTCTTCAAGCAAGCCTCACAGGCCTAGGGCCCCAAGCGTCTCATGGATGGGTTGCAAGCTTCATGGCTCGGATAAAAAGAAAAAAGGCGCCACGATCCCCAGTTGCTTAGGTTCCCTCACAGCCCAGAGTATCCTGGGTGCCCCAAGTCCCCCACGTCCCTTACCCTGGATCCACTAGAAGGACCCCCCGATTCCCGATTCCCTTTGAGCTCTCAAAGTCCCTGGTCCCCCCAAAATCTTGCTCCCGGAAGGCCAAAGGCCAGCCCTCCGCTTTGTTTTTGGGGCCTTTTGGCCAGCGTCCAGCTCAGCCATGTGAAGGGCAGCCATGTACCCCGTCTTCTTGGGGGTTGCTTCCTGGCTGCTCGATTCACTCTCTGACTCCGGGGGCATCTCCGTCGCCGGCTCTCAACCCTGCCACCCAATCAACGTCTGACATGGCAGTAATTGCGAACTCGTCTCTCTCCGTCAACCAAAACACTCGCACCAAAGGCCCGCGCTGGGTGAAGATGAAGAGCTGCCCTCAATCCCCTAGGTGGCGATTCGCAAGGTTGCAAGTTCGAGGGCTAGTGGACCAAATGGACCTAGGGGACCAAATGGACCCAGGAGACTTAGGGGACGAGGGGGACTAGGGGACTTCGGAGACTTCGGGGATTGAGGGGACTGAGGGGACTGAGGGGACTGAGGGGACTTAGGGGTTAAGACCTGTTGGTTAAGGCATGTTGCACTGCTCCTAGCTTGAACCCAAACAAGACCACCCAAAAGAACAATGCAAGTCCGAAGCGGCCAGGGCACGGGTGCGCCTGGAGCAGGAGGTGCGTCCCCCCCGTGAAACTCTAAGGCAAGACAATGCGTGTCCTTGCAAATGCATGCAGTGCGTGCATGGCGTGGCATGCGTGCCCACGCCCAACCAGCAGACCGGGGTCTGTGGTCAGGAAAGGGCAAGCTGCGGCTCTGCCCAAACCTGCATGATCCGGAGACCATGTAGTCCGGAGACCATGAGCGGTCCGGAGACCTAGTGGTCCGGAGACCGTGAGCGGTCCGGAGACCATGAACGGAAGTGCAGAGCGTCTGCAACTTCTCTTTGCAGAGCCTTGAAGAAGGCAGTGCAGGGTGGGTGGGTGGGTTTCAAATGAAACAGCAAGTTTGGGTCAAGGCTAGGAGCAAAACGGCCACCGCGTAGGTAGATTCACAACATGCCCTAAACACAAGGGAAAAGAACAATGCAAGTCCGAAGCGGCCGCAGTTCTTTCTACCGGGATTGCTGAAAGTAGCACTGCTTCCAGGGCACGGGTGCGCCTGGAGCAGGAGGTGCGTTGACCCCCCTTCAGTGTTTCAGGCAACCCCGGCATAAGCGAGCCAGCTGGGCCGCCGGCCTCATCACCCCCCCTTTAGAGTGGGGTTGTAACTGGCAGGGCAAGTGTCCGCATGACATTGCACGCTTGGTTGTGAGCATCCTGTTGCTCAGGGACCGCTCTTTTTTAGTCAAAGCGGCTTGCAGCCAGGTATTCTGGTTGCCAGGGCGAGGTTGGCTATTGGGTCGCAATGCATGTTGGGATGCAATAAGGCTCGGCTACGCACTGCTGGAGGCAGCTGCCAAATGTTCCGGGCGCCAGGGCGCATCTATCGGACACAGCTGAATGCCTCTGCCTGACAGCGCAAGACCCGCAGGGCTGGCTGAATCGGGCCAACCGACCTCTGCTGAGGTCGTCTGCCCAATCATTGCTCCTTCCCGGAACGTGTGTTGGCTGCAGCAGCACAGACGGGCAGGCTGCCGCTCACCACGGGTCTCTCCAACAAGGCTGACCAGTCGGCCTTTGACGTGCTGGAGGGCGTGGTGGCTATGAAGAGCACCCCCGACAGCGTGGGCCTGAAGCTGTCGAACTACAGCACCACGGCTGGCTCCATCGCCTCGGCCAACAACGCCACGCTGGCCACGGTGGCAGCCAACTACGGCCTCAAGACGGTGGTGGACCAGCACTCCCTCGACATCGCAGCAAGGATCACGCCGCTGGAGGTCGACACCAAGGTGGCCAACGCTCTCCTGGGCGTCGGGCCTCCGACCGCGTACGCCCTGCTAAGATAGCAGCCGCCCTCCTGGACGCAGTCACCACGGCAGTTCTCGGCCCTCGTCGGCAAGGCGGACGCAAGCGCTGGCCTCCCTGCTCTCCACGGTGGACGGGTTGGACACGCCGCTGGAGGTAGACACCAAGATAGCAAATGCCCTGCTGGGTCTCGCCACCGAGGCCTTCGTCGCCGCGCAGCTTGCTAGCCGGGGCGCCAGCATCTCGGCGCTCCAGGGGGCCAAGGCCGACACGTCGCTGCTGGCCTCGTACGCCACGAACGCCGCGCTCTCAGCCAGCGAGACCACGCTCCAGAGCGCCCTCGACGCAATCCTCGCGGAGCTTGCCACCCTGCAGCTTTCCGGCAGCGGCGGAGTTGTTAACGCGCCGGCCTGGGCGGGCTTCACAACTTGGGAGCTCGTTCGCGGAAGCAGCGTCTGCATCTGGAGGCTCCTCTCTCGGCTGCGCTGGCCTTCGCAACCATGAAGCTTGCACTCGGGCTGGACGTTCAGACCAATGCCAAGGGGGGGAAATTCATGTCCATAGAGGACTCCCATCAGGGCGCGCTGGCGCGCAAGGTCGACGTGGAGGTGCTGTGGGAGCCCGGCAACTTCCAGGATGACGGGGCCAAGAGGGTCGGAGTGTGCTTTGCGAGCGACCTGGAGCTGTGGAGGTGGAGCAGGGCGTCATCGACAACATGATCATCTTCCAGAAGCCCTTTCCGGGCGCCGCCCGCACCGAGCTTGAGAGCCAGCTCCAGCGCGCCGTCAAGGTGAGCGCCAAGGGCAAGCACGTCAAGGGCAAGATTGACTTGGAGCGCTGCCTCTTCTGGGACCCGGCCGGCAACCGCGCGCCCCGCGGAGTTGTCGCGTTGCAAGGGCCGTGCGCTTGTGGAGGCCCGGCACGTGTGGCTGATGGGCAGGCAGTGGGGTGTGCTCTTCAAGGTGCCACCTCATGCTGGAGCCCCTGGAGGCGCCGTGCTGCCCGTTCGGCTAGGCCGCCTCCAGCAGCTCGGAGCTCGTCGCCCTTGAGGCGCCCAGCAGCGTGAGGTGGCACGACTCCAGGTCCAGGCGGACGCGGCGTAGGTCACTGCGTGGCTCGGCCGGGTGGCGCGCAGCAGCTCCTGCTTCTTCAGCCGCATGCCGTTGTCCAGCCTCACTCCGTCCGGCTCCACTTCCGCCACGGCCACAAAGACTCCTTTGGGTATCTTCCCACCGGCCCCGATGAGGCGCAGCCCCGGCCACACCCTCATGCTCTGCGGGCTGTTTTGGGTTGTTACAATTTTATCACAACCATTTTGGGTTGTTGCAGTTTGGCAACAATGGGTCGTAACAACCCAAATCTATGTGGATGACCTGAGTCTCCAATTGGAGCAGCTTTGAGGTTTGCGGCGCCAGGGTTCGCCGCTGCGTTGACGGCCATGCGCTTGCTGTGGCTGATGACCAGCGTGGTGTCCGGCCACCCGGGCTTTGAGGGGTAGAGCTCCTTCAGCCTCGCCTTGGCCTGCTCCAGCGTGGGGCACCCCTCCTCGCCGACCCGCAGCCACTTCACGAAGTTGAAGATGCCGGGGTCGGAGCGCGTGTTCTCCGTGAGCTCGTGCCGTGCCAGGTTGCGGATTAGTTGGCTGTGCTCCAACGGCGCGCTGATGGGCCGCCCGGCCCAGCAAGAACTTCACTTATTTTCTTTAGTTGGAAACCCGGACCGGTTAGATCCTTTTACAGAAAAGGCGAAGCCAATTCAAAACACCTATTATATATATCCGTCCAGAGTCTAATGACATACAGAAGTCAAAACTCATATAGATATAAAACTTGAAATGATGTGTCGCATCTTTTCCAGTGCGATGGGGCGTAGTCTGCATTGGT